AACTGGGGCCAACACATTTGCTTTTCCTCACTAGGAAAGACAACCACTGGAAAATCAGTGTCCGAGCACATTCAAACAAGATCTCACATACCCCTCAATCCACTACTCTGTGACAGGAGGTGACCTTAGATCTCACATCAAAGTTACAGTATTTCTGGGATTCAGGCCTGACCAGTTGGTGGGAATCACTTCCAAGTTCAGTTGTGGACACTACTACCTGGCTTTGGAATAGGTGGGGTGGCACATACATACAGACAATAGTAGACACCCCCCAATCCAAAAAAAGATCATCTATAAGATGGGTTTGATGTGTACTAGTATAGGGCAGAGGTAAGCATGTGGGCTTTTTGAGACCAACACACCTGGGTGTGTTTGTAATTATTTACTCTCTATGCAAAGAGGTAGCATCTACCTCACAGGGCTTATATAAAATGTTATACTATATGAAATAATATATGTCAAGCAGAGATGATGATGATGATAATGATGATGACTGCATCTGGAGGGTGGCAGAGCTGGGCTGTGGCCTGCTTAGTAGAATTAACGTATCTAGAGAAAAAGATGTCACTCTAAGGAAGACACTGCCTGTGGAACTTAGAAAAGGAGGAACTGGAGGAGCAGGATTGGGTTTTCCGTCATCATCATGAAGGGAAGGGATGAGGTAGATTCAGAGAGGCCTCTGGCAGGCACGGAGGAGGTGCTCTGTCCTGGGGCACGGGAAGATGCCGTAACACCCTTCATGCAACAAATTTCAGGATGATCCACCTCCAAATGCTGGGGTTGGGGACTCCAAAGCAAAGTTCTGAGGACTAAATCAACTTCGTAAGAAAAAAGGAAGATGGAAATAAATGTGTCCAGTGTGGCCAATTCTTAGCCCCAAACCTCAGAACAGGGCAGAGAATCTATCTTGAGTCATCATTCATTTCTCATTCACTCATTCATTCATCAGACAACACAAGTTTAAGGGCAGCACTGAACTAGAATAGAAAGAGATGAAAACAAGGGCTTCCTTCAAGAGGAACTTCTGGGCTCCGTAGGAGCAGGGCTCTGTGCAGTCACCTTC